GGGACCGAGGTCCCGGGCGGGGCCAGCCAGCTGGCGGCGAAGCCGGCTCAGGGCTCCCGCCCTTCCTTCTTACCCGCCCTGCGCAGCAGGATGCCGCCGTCGGAGCCGGCAGCCCGCCACTCACCTCCAGACATTCGCACCGAGTGACCCCCACCGCCTGGTCCAACACCGCTGCCGCCGCCGCCGCCGTCTTCGTCACCGCCGCCATATTTGTTTAGTCTCGACTTCCTTCCCGCCTCCTTGCCTCACCCAAGTCTCGCGTGAGGAGGGCTCGGGGCGAAAGAGGGGGCGGGGCCTGGGGTGACCCGGCGGGCCGTAGGCGTATGGGGGCGGGGCCCGCGGAAACGTGTAAGGGGCGTGTCGAGGGGGGGCGGGGCCGTAGCTCCGTCTGCCCCGAGGCTAGGTCACCGCCGGTGGCTCGGTGGCGCTGTTTCGGGCTGAGCGGCCGGGGCTCCTTCTTGCTGCGCAGATGGAAGGCGCTGTGGTTCGGCTGCTGCGAGGCAGCGGCCTGGTGAGTGCGCGCGCGGTGGAGGTCTCGGGCGCCGGCACACCGGCGTCGGCCCCGGCGAGTCCTTCTCCTAACGGGACCGGCTTGCGTGCCCACCCGGGACTCGCGCGTCTCCCCCCGCCGGGCCTGGCTCGCTGGGCCCTTCCCGCCTGGCCCGCCCCACCACCCTCCTGCCTCGGACGGAACCGGCCGCGCTGTGTCCGGAGGGCTGGGGGCAGCAGTGGGTGGGGATGATCTAGAAGCGTCTCGGAGCGCAACCGGGGCCTCGGCCGCGGGCCTCGCTGGGAAGCCGGAGAGCCGCGTCATCAGTGCCCTTCAGGTGCCACGAGCCTCGCGAGTCTGCGACGTTTTCCCCGGAGGTCACTTCGGATGTTCCAAACCTGCTTTCTCCGTTTATTACATGCCAGCCCCGTCGCCCTCGGAAACCGATTGCTGCTATAGGCTCAGTCCTTTGTATGAACAGATTTCCCCGTAACCCCCACCCCTAACCTCTGAAAAGTTAGCAAGGGACCTCGGATTGGTCTGCGTGCCCAGTGGGTGGCAGTAGTGGTGGTCGCGTGCCATCCAGTCGATTCCAACTCATAACGACCCGATAGGACAGGGCAGAAATGCCCCCAAAGGTTTCTTAGGCCGACATTTTTAGGAGAGCAGAGAGCCAGGTCGTTCTCGCCTGCAGCCACGGCGGTGGGAGTGGGTGGGGAGGGGCACCCGCCGACCGTTTATTAGCAGTCCAGCTACACCGTCTTTGCCACTAGGACCCTTGGCACAGGGATCCCTTCCCTCTGCCTTGCATCTCATGGCTATGACCTGGGAGTTTTTCCTGTAAGAGATAACCTTGGCTCAGAGAACTTGAGCTGTAGCCTGTCTTTCGTGGGAAAAGGCTCTGGCAGGCAGTGGGCTTCCAGGGAGATTTGCAGCGCTGGAACCCTCAGGGGCCGTCTGCTCTGTCCCGCACGGAAAGTCACTGAAAAGTGAGTCAGGATCATTATACTCCGTGAGGGTATCCAAACTGGTTGATTCTTTGACAACTCTGACAACCAAGGTTCTCAGTGGTCAGATGAAGCACTGGGACCCACTTTTAACCCTTCCTCGGAGGGCGGGCTCTGCAGAACTGCCATGCATTTGGCTGCACTCTGTGTACGCCCAAGGCACCCTCAGGCCTGCTCTTGTTTTTTTTCTTTTCACATTTCCGTTGTCAGCTTCAGCCTATGACTAGAGGCAGGACTCCTTTTCTTTTTGGCCTCACATTAGAGATAATTACTTTATTTGAGTCTCCGAGATTCACGATTGGCCTCTTTTACTGACCCTGTGCTATGGGACAGGCATGCCCGCCTCTTCACTAATGCTTTTTCACAGTCCCCTTAAAGAGCAGTCTGGAACTTTCCAAATCGGAAACTGATGCTGAAAAGATTAGTGATTTGCCCAAAGCCAGGCAGGTCGAAACAGGCAGGCTACTGCTCTGACAATAACCCAACCCTCGTGCTGCCACTCCCCTTTTCCTTGAGCGATCAGACACCTATTTGGGGTTTTTTGCACGTTTCAATGTGGCGTAGAGTCATTCCCTGTTCTTGAAGCTGGTTAGCATCAGTGAAGTGGAGCAACGGGCTGACTGTTGAATGTAGTTCAGGAATGTGCTCTGCCCACAGGATGCTCATCTCTGCTTTCCCATGGCAGCATATCTTTGGGCAGGCTACTTACCATTTGCACCCTGGGGAGGTTAGCAGCTACTTCGGAGAACTGCTGTAAAGATTAAATGGCTTCATCTGTTCATGTCGTGCCCTGAGGCCTGCAGCACCCCTGTCATCAGCAGTGGGCAAATGTTAGCTTTGGGTGAGCTTTGTGTGCTGGGGCAAATAAAATCATAACTCAAACACCCACTGGTGCTTTGGATTAAGCCCTGGTCTTAAAGTGCAGCGTGGCCAGTGGTTCAAACCCACCAGCTCCTTCTTGAGGGGTGAAGTGGGGGGCAGGGTGGGGATGGGACAATGATGAGACTTGGCTCCCATAAAAATTTCCAGTCCAAATAATCATCAGCCAAAAAAAAAGAAAGAAAGAAAGAAAAAAGTAAAATAATAAACTTTCTCCTTCAAAAAAACTTTTTTTTTCCCAGTCCAGGAAACCCTCTGTGGGGTTTCCTTGAGTCCTCCATGCAGCTGTTTTTAAAACCCCTAGCACTCAAGAAATGTATCTTTTCGTGGAGCGTTAAGAACTAGCCGTGCAACCTCATTATTTAAAACTGGCGGGAAGACACAGTGGCCATCGGCTCTGCTTGTGGCGGACCCAAGTATGCCGGAGGAGGACTATGCTCCAGGTTTTCAGGGGCTGCCTTTGGGGAAGTTGATTGACGGGACTTTCTTCCGAGGCACCTGTGGGTGAACTCATCGCTCCAGCCTTTCAGTCAGCAGCCAAGCATGTTAACCATTTGCACCCCTCCCCGCAGACACTTCATACCACTGAGCTCTGGCCCCAATTCCATGAGGCCTGCCATCTGCCCAGGTTCACAGGGAACAGGGAGGAGGATCAATAGATAGAGACACTTTGGGGGAACTGAGGCCTATTGAGTTCAGATTCTAGAAGTGGAAGTGGGGGAGAGTTCTATAGAATAAAAAACCCCATCCCCTATCCCTTGACCCTCTTAAGAGATTTTGGCATTTATCTTTTGGGCTGTGGAGAGTTCTGGACTTCGGAAATTCATCATCAGAGCTGAGATTTATTCGGTTCATTGTTGTATTAGAGCTCAAGGGAGCCTTGGTATGTGTTGGGCTGCTAACCGCAAGGTCAGCAGTTCGAAACCACCAGCCACTTCACAGGAGACGGTATTATGTCTAACGCATGTAAGAGGAAGTCTTACTATCCTTGCCTCTAAGAAGCACTCTCATACAATTACTCTTCTGTGTCTGCCATATGTCAGACACAGCATAATGTTTTCAAGGTTCATCCAAGTTAGAACATGTAGCAGAACATTTTCCTCTTGTGTGGTCTATGTGACACATTTCCTTTACTTATCCATCTGTCAGGGGACACCTGGCTTGTTTCCTTCCACCTCTTGGATCTCGTGAGTGATGCTGCCACCACCTCTAGTGTACAAATAGCTGCTACATTGCTCTCTTCAGGCCCCTGGTGTAATGTCCTATCACACACACCTTTCTCCACTTTTATTTCTCCACCTCCCACAGCACTCAGTACTTTTCAGCTACTCACAGACAATGTTACCTAGCACCCCCAATTAAGTGCCCAGAAGCACCCCATGCCACAAGCCAGCCTCCTCCCCCAAAGCACCCAGCTTTACTTTCCCTTGGGCCCGGGAGCCCACCACTGTCTCATGCCCTGACTCATGGCTCTGCTGCTGCTCCTCGGACGTCACAGCGGTCTTCTGGATCCAGGAGGTGCAGGGATCTCGGGCTCCAGGGGGTGTGCTCCACTCCTGGCTCTTGCTGGAAGTGAGATGCTCTCCCTCCTGCTTCTCAGAGGGCCCGTTTCATACCCAGCAGGATGGCATGCACAATGTCCCGGTTCCCAGTTATCACAGTTGAATCCTATCAGTGTCTCCCCATCTCTCACCAGGCCCAGGCAGGGGAAGGTCGTTTGGTGGGGGTTGCTCTGTCTAGAGGAGCCCTGTTACATAAGGCACTGCCCTTGCAGGTACATACCTACATGGAATTGCTGGGCTGGAGGGTCATTTTCTTTAACATTTTTGATTCACACGCTTATGCCTCTGACTCCATTCCTGCACTGCTGCAACCCACACCCACACCCACCCCGTTCCTACCTCCCCTCTTTCTTATTTGGAGCTTCTTTCTCTGATGGTGAGCAACCTGGTTCTCCTTCTCAACAGTGCCAGAGCATTCCTCCATCAGAGGCTCCTGAACTTCCTCGGTGCCATGACATGGAGTAAAGGTCTATGGCAAACCAATTAAGAGTAGTTCTCGTTTTTCCTGCGAGGTGAACAAGCATTGGGCAGCCCTCTCTGAGTTAGTGCACACAGTGGCATCACCTGGGAAGGTTCTCTGTGAATTTTTTCGTAAAAGCAGTTTTGCTCTAACCTCATTTTCTGGGATGGCCGAATAATAAGAGATCAGCATGCAGTTGTAAAATTTTGTATACTGCTTGTGGAAAATGCCACAGAAACTCTTGTGATGTTGACCACAGCTTACAAGGACAGTGCTATGGGAAAAACTCAAGTATAGGAGTGGATTTCTCGTTTTAAAAAAGGTGAAATGTCTGGTGATGACAAACCTCATTCTAGATGTCCCTCAACTTCCCAAATGGATGGTTGAATATGTCGACTTGTAGTGGATTTAGAGTTCATTTCACCAGGTCAGACTGTTAATCAAGCTTTCTACTTAGAGATTCTGAAAAGGTTGCATCACAGTGTGCAACAAAAAAAGGCCTGATTTGTGGCAGACGGGGCACTGGTTTGGCTATCATGACAATGTACCTGTTCACGTAGCCATCTCAGTGTGCCAGTTTTTGGCAAAAAACAGCATGCCTCTCTTGCCCCAGGCAGCTGACTCACCTGGCCTTGCTCCATGCGACTTATTTTTGTTTCTGCGAATGAAGAGGGGCATAAAAGGACAGTGATTTGATAACAAAAAGAGGTGAAGGAAAAAACGAGAGAGGTACCGTCAGCCATCCAAACAGATGAGTGAATACCACTTCTTACTTTTTAAAGAGCCCAGGTGGTGTGGTCTGATCAGAAGTGGCCTGCTTATTGCATGGTCAGTGGTTCAAACCCCTCAACTTTCTCCACAGAGGCAAGACGAGGGTCTAGTAAGATTTGCAGTCTTGGAAAACCATAAAGTAGTTTTATCTTGCCCCATAGCATAAGTTCCCAAGCTTATTTGCCTTACTAGCCCCTTTTCAGAAAAGGAAAAAAAAAAGAAAGAAATGACTGGGCTACCCACTCCCACCCCCACCACCCACCCTCCAGCAATTACAAGTGTTTGTGTTCTAGTGCATATAAGGCAGGTAGTCGCTGCCCCCCACCCCCCAGGACTGTCTCATCCACATTGGGAGACACTGCCATAGAGAGTAGCTGTGTGTCAGAATCATCTCGAGGACAGTAAGTGTGACTTTTTAAAGTCCGTTTGTCTGTGAGTCGCTGTGGGTCAGATAGCCGTGCACTTTGGCAGTAGCAGTACTGAAACTAAACCCAAACTAAGCTCACTGCCATTAAGTTAATTTTGACTCATAGCAACTCTGCAGGGCAGAGAAGAACAGCCTCTTTGGATTACTGAGCAGCTGCACTGATCTTGTGGCTAACAGCCAGCATATAACCCACGAAGGTGTGTAGAAGTGGCACAGAGGTGGTGTCTGACCTCTGGTACCTTTCTGAGGCTGGGGGAGGAGGAGGAGGCTCAGCACCCCAGGCTGATCCCTGTGAGGAAGAGGTCATCCGTGCCTCCACCCTTCAGTCTCTGGATCCGTTTTGATACTTGCTGTCTCTCCATGGCCCTCTGCTCCTCCGGAGGGCAGTGAGGAATCACTGCAGGAACCATGCAGAACTCACAGACCGGGCTCAGGATTAGGGAGTACATTAAATAGGTAGCAGGTTACAGGTCAGTACCAGATAGGATTCAAGGTACATGTCTTTGATCAAGGCAGCCTCTTCTCAAAAACAAAACAAAGCAGCCTCTCTGGCTCTTCACCTCTTGGCCCCTCGACTCAACCTCTGCCAGTTCAGGCAAGTGTCACTAAACTGTCTCTGCCAGAAAACCTGCAGAGGCATCTCATCGTCCCAGTAAGTTTCAGCCTGAAGTGCTCAGTTCTCTCACTTTGTGGGTCACCTTGAGTTGCAGGTCAGCCAGCCGAGGCTGGTAACTCCAGCCTCGTTCCCCGGGTCACCCTATTTGGTCAGCAAGCCACAGCCTAAAGGTGCTCAGGTCAATTTTCTTAAAATTTCCTCGAAAGCCCCCCGGGTCACCCTATATCCTTCCAGAAAAATCGAGCCATTGGAAAAGGAAAGCCTTCCCCTAGAGCTGGTGCCCCGACGTCAGGACTTGTAGCCTCCTAGACAAGGAGGCCTGGTGGCTGTGATCTGCAAGGTCAGCAGTTTGAAACCACCAGGCTCCTTAGTTGAAAGATGGGGCTTTCTACTCCTGTAAAGAGTGGCCGTCTCAGAAACTCACAGGTCCGTTCTGCCCTGTCCTCGAGGGCTTCTGTGAGTCCCCATCGACTCGATGGCAGTGCATTTGAGGTTGAGCCTCCTGCCCTGAGAGACTCAAGTGCTGTTTGTCAAGAAGCAGTCCCTTGTGGTGTTGTTGCCACAGCAGCCCCACACAGCTCAGTGTGGGGTGGAGAGAACTCGCCTGCAGCATCCACTGATCGCAGAGGCTGACTTTGGGATGAACACACGGATATACAGATCGCCTGGAGACTTGTGTTTGAATTCCCAAATCCAAATCAAACCCAAATCTTGGGTGTGAATTTCATGTAGAAAGTTCTACTTCCGGACAATGAATGTACAAATGCACAATTGATGTATGTATGGATTGTGATAAGAGTTGTATGAGCCCCTAATAAAATGATTAAAAAAAAAAAAAAGAAAGTTCTACTTCCTTGATTGGTTGAAGAGTTAACGGGAATTTGGGTGTGTAGAAACCAGCTCCCTGCTAGCTAAAGGAGATAACATATAACGTTAAATGCATGTTAATTTGTGCCTATGCTCAAAAAGGATGGTTGAATTTACATATGTCTCAGATGAAGTGCCCTTATTTGGTGAAGTGAAACAAATATGGATTTCGAAAACGATCCCAAGGACACTGGTACTCAAAGCCCTTCTCTCTCTCTCTCTCTCTCTCTCTCTCTCTCTCTCTCCCCACCCCCCACCCTACCCATCCCCCTGTGTTGCCTCCTCAACGGGCTGTCCCCACAGTTGTCAAGAAACTTCCCCACCTGCCTGTCTTCATGGAGAGTTCCTCCGAGGGTCTTCAGATCCTCCCAGTCGGAAGCTTTCCTCAGCCCCGGCACCAGCCCTGGGCTGCCTGGCTGCCCCCTGCAAACCTTCACCGAAGAGGAGCTGATGATGAAGAGCACCGGTGAGTAACTGCCCACTTCCGCCTCGGACTTCCCATCAGGGCTCCGCCAGTCAGTCCCTGGGAATGGCCTGGCTCAGCATGCCTGAGGGCTGTGAGCTCCCGGGTGGTGAGAAGAAGCTCCGTTGTTCTGTTTTAAAGCAAGCGCATCTGTGTGTTTGTGTTCACAGGCCTTTTGGTTTGTACTCGGTTTTCCTTCTACTCCTGCCCCCCTCCGCACCCCATTTCCCGTTTCCCATCAGAAATAGCGTGTTAGCAGTTCTGTTGCATCCTTTCAGTGTTGGAAACATTTCTGCTGTGTAACAGTAGAAATGCATACGTTCGTCCCCTGCCATCAACTCCCAACTCACAGCGCTCCTGCAGGACAGGGTCGAACTGCCCCTGTGGGTTTCCGAGACCGCCGCTCTGTACCAAAGTGAACTGCCTCGTCTTTCTCCAGTGGAGCAGCTGGTCTGGTGGGTTGGAACCGGTGACCTTTCAGTTAACAGTCGAGTGCTGAACTACTGTGCCATGGGAACTCCCTAGTGAAGCATGTAGGTCCTCCGTCCCCACTTTTTTTTTAAGTAGTGAGTTAATGCTTCAGAGAGACTAAATTTTGCCTCTACCCAGGAAGTGGCCATGACTGACTAGGAAACCAGAATAAGAAGAAGCTGGGGGACCCCTGAAGCATCACACAGCTTGTGTTTTATGTATGTGGATGTGTAGGGGTGTGGGTGGGGCTGGTACAGGTGGTAAAGAAATGACCAGGCAGCCGAGCCTGACCTCACCCAGCTGCACAAGGGAAAGGAGAACCCAGCTCCCCACTGGCCCGGGGGTGAGACCTCTGAGACAGAGGGCAGACAGTCTCCACCCTCCAGCACCCTTTTCCTGTCCTGACACCAGCCTCTCCTCCCACAGCACACTGCCTCTCTGCTGGCTCCCATGGTCTGTCGTGGTGCCACGCAGACCTCATACGCAGACTCACAGTTAGTGAGGTGGGGGGAGTGTTATTCTGCATTGAGGAGAGAAACAAATCCATGACCCTCGTATATGTATAAGAAATAGTTTCGTATCAAAAAGTCATTGTTAATCAAGAAAGCATCCCAACCCAGTCCAACTCAAGTCCGTAAGTCCAGTACTAGTTCCTAAGGCCCTCTTCAGACCCACACAGCCACATGCAATGATGCAGAATACAATCAGAATACCGGTGGGTTCAAGGTCAGTGCAATCATGACAGGGCTCCACCAGCTTCAGGGTCCATGGCACAGAGAGGGAGAGGCTCCCAGAGCCGCCCTTGTGAGAAGGCCACCTCCCCCCCAACCCTAGGAGGTGCCATCAGACATTGACAGATGGGATACCACCCTACGCTTTTGTACATCTTCAAGTTGACAGACAATTGCATGACCAGGCCAGGGGGGTTATGCGGGAAGTTAACAGGCTATCCTAAGGCAGGATCAGAAAGCATTGAGGCCTATCATTTCGGCCTGCTCCTGTGCTCTGTCTCGTGGTCTGGGAGCTGCACGCCTCTGCTCTTTCTGGCAGGGATCTCACACAGTCTCTCTGGATAGCTGTGGGGTCCCCTGTTCCTGCCTCTGAGCTAGCTCACATATACCGACCGTGGCATGGGAGAACCCCCAGGCCCCAATTCCGACTCTCTGCACCCTATCTGCTCCTCCCCACCTGGTCCCTGGCTATGAGTGCTCAAGCCCGTGGAGAGCAAAGCCACACCAGACAGTCCCACTTCACCAGTCTGCGGAGCTCTGGGGGCCCAGTGGCTGGGGCCTGGCCACTAACCGGAAGGTGGGCTGCTCAGACGCCCGCTTCTCCCCCCCCCCCCCCAGGAACCCCGTGGGCGAAAGATGAGGCAGCCTGCTTTCCTAAAGATTTACAGCCTTAGAGTCCCTGTGGACAGCTCCACTCTGCCCTGCCGAGGCCCTATGGGTCAGAATCGACGGCCGTGGCTTTGTTTTCTTATTGTTGGTTTCCAAGGTCCGCAGCTTGATAGCAGGTGGACTGCCTTGGCACATGCGGGTTGGCAAGCACATTTGCCTTCTGTTGTGGTGTAACAAATTGCCACAGACTTGGTGGCTTAATGCAACACCCATCTCTTCGCGAGTCCAAGGTCCAGGTGTGTGGTGGGGTTCTCGCTAAGAGCCTCACAAGCTAGAGTTGGGTCCTCAGCTCCCCGCCATTGGAGGATGGAGGTCCCCACCTCCTTGGTGCCTGCCAGCCCGGGCCCACCCTCCGATCCTAGGGACCACGCCACTCCTTGGCACCTGGCCCCCTCCGTCTTCAAAGCCAGTGGTGAAGAAATCGCCCGTCCACCCAGTTCCTCTCCCACGTACAGGCCATTTGCCAGCAGGAGCTGGTAAACAAGCTCACAGCAGGTAAGAGCTCTGACCATCAGCTGCTGGGGTCCGTAAGCAGCTCTAGAAGACCCTCAGGACAGCTCAGTGTTTGACTCAAGGAAGGGACAAGATGTGTGTTCACTAGGGGCTGGGACTCTCAGGGGCCATCTCAGAATTCAGCCTCCCACCACCAACCCGCTTGCTTTGCTCTCCTCGGATGTCAGGCCCAGTCTCACAGGGCTGGAGGGCTGACTTTCCCTTTGGGCAAGATAAAAACTCACTGCCTTCGAGGAACGCAAGGCTAGTGGGAGAGGCAGTCAAGTAAAAGAAATGGTTTCAAAGCCCAGTGATGAAGGCCCTATGTCAGGCTTTGGGGAGCCGAGCAGCACGCTTCTTGACTTTGCTGGAAATCCAGAGATGGCGGGAACTGGGGCTGGGGAGGTGCGCCTAGGGTTCACAGAGCACGTGGTGTTAAGCTGTACCTTGGGTCGGGAAAGAGGACAAGGACAGACATTGTCAGCAGAGGGGACAGCTCTTGCTCCTCAGACGCAAATGCCTCTCCAAGGTGAGCAAGCCCAGGTGCTCTGAAGTTTCAGCCAGGGCCACCTGCCTCCTCTGCCCACGCACAGCGGGCTGGCCAGGACATGAAGGTGCTTGGATGTGCCCTTTCCTTTCATCAAACTGGCTTCCAGGTGGACCCAAAGCAAGTCCAGAGAGCAAAACCGGAAAGGGTTAGAACATGGTTCTCAGACCGGGAGTTGGGGGTGGCGGGGTGAGGGGTGCCGTTTGCTCTAGGAGAACATTTGGCAACTTCTAGACACCTAGTTTGGCTGTCACAACCCAGATAAGGGTGACCAGCGGACGGCCTCAATGCACAGAACAGTCCAGTGTCAGCAGTGTCCAGCTTGAGGGCCCTGTTCTGTCTGACCATGTTCCTCAGGCGGGAGAAGCAGAGGTCACCGGAGTCTTCTAGGTCTGGGATGGGGGGGACTTGAATGTCTTACCTTGTGTGAAAAGATAAATGATGTCTGTGTATGTGTAGAGCTGGATTTGCACAGTCTCCCGTTTCTCGACAGGATACCTGTGATAATTGAAATGGAGTTGCCTTTGGCGGGAAGGGCCGGGCCGGGGGAGGAGTCGAGTTTTGTTTTCCCGTTGTGTGTTTGCTCTGGTGTTGGCGCCGTGGCCGGTTATTTGGTTGTTTAGTGTCGTCGAGAACTTCCACAGGGTCGGGTGGAGATCGTCTCTGTATTTAGAACAAAGCTTGAAAAGTGCCGCCTTGACTCAGATGACGTGTGTGTCTGTCGAGGTACATCCTTGTCAGAGAAGGATAGGGGTGCCGTCGCCTTTATTCCGGGACCCTGCCACTCGAGCCCAGAAACACGGCAGGATTTCTTTCTTTTCCAGTCACAAAGTTCGCCCAGCAGCGAGTCGCTCCTTTGGTTTCAACAATGGATGAAAATTCAACAATGGATAAGTCAGTGATACAAGGACTGTTTCAACAAGGGGTATGTATTTCATCATTCTTCCCACCTCCCACTTCTGTAAGTACATTGCAGTGATAAAATGTGTACAAAGTTTTAATACTAGGGATTCTGAGGATGGCATTTTGAACTCAGGATTTCCTTGTCAAAAGTATCTCTTTTCTTTTTTTTTAGAGTGAGATACATAATGGTTTAAAAAATTTTTTTTTATTAGAAATACTGTCTTGTAAGTAAATGTTTGAGTAGGAGAGAAGGATTTTTTTATAGAATAGTTGTTCTCTGAAGAACAATGCTACATTACATGCTGTAATACATGCTTCAATACATACTATAATACATACTCAACATGCTACAATACTTTCTCAACATGCTACAAACAGTACACAGCATAGTGCTAAGACCCCTTCATAAATCTTCACAGTATAGCATATATTCTACCCGAGTCCTTGTGGGTATGGATGGTACTCTAAGCTCAGCAGCAGTGATGATAACTGAAGTCTACATTAGCCAGGGCACCAGATTTCAAGCTAAGTCAAAATGTCCTGTAGATGGAAGCCCAGACCATCAGGCAGCTTAGAGAGAACCTGCCCTGCGAGCTAAGAAGAGAGCTTTTGAAAGCCACGCTGGTCTCCCGTCTGCCGTGAGGTCTGTTGCCCTCCTTTGAGCACTCAGGACAGCACCGCAGACCGTAGACTTCCGTGTGGCTGACACGCCAACATTAATCTAAACAAAATTCCTCCAGCTGGACCAGTGAGTAACATCATGAAAAACCGGGGAAAGATCAATGTCGTAGAGGGTTTCCTCTTACTGGGATGCATGGTCGGTGCCTGTGGACGCTGCAGCCAAGAGGTCAGACGGTACATGGCCTAGGGCTAACCTGCAAAAGGCCTCTGTAAAGTGTCTGGACAGCAACGGTGTTGCGTTGAAAGCTAAGGTGCACCGACCCACTCACCTCACATTGTGCCAAAGCTGGCCAATGACTAATGCGGACTGAAGGAGGATTGATGCCTTTGAGTTCTGATCTTGGTGAGGAATATTGACTATAGCATGGGTGATCTGTCTTGGAAGAAGATATGCTCCTTAGAACCAGGATGCTCCTTAGACACAAGGATGTTATTCCCGACACAACTGCTGAAGACAGAGCGGGCGAATAAGCAAATGTGGTGAAGAAAGCTGATGGTGCCCGGCTATCAAAAGATATAGCGTCTGGGGTCTTAAAAGCTTGAAGGTAAACAAGCG